GATAAGATAAGATGAAGGTAAGAGAGGAGTATTTACAGACCGCAGCCATATACCGGGAAAATGCGTTAACAAGAAACAAACCAAACCTTTCGTTCAGGGTCAATAAGCATAAATCAGGGCTCGAGTTAGGTACTAGTAAAAAAACCTGCACATTTGCAACCTGTTATTGAAACATACACCCAAATATTTCTGTCTACATACACAACGTAGAATATACTCATGCCAATAATGGTTGTCACCCCCCTCCCCACCCCAACCCCCACACACCTCACACACCCACCCCACGCCCCCTCTCCAATTAAAAACATTGAAGGGGTGACAACCATTATTGGCATGAGTATATAAACATATGTCCCTGACTAACCACAAAAATGCGATGTTCGAACATAGTCACTTAATACATGTAAAGTTGTTTAATCACATCATACTACTACAACCCCTGTGTTGCGAGTAATATGCCATGCTTACTCAGACCTTATAGCATGAAACTGTAGGTACATGTACTTCAAAAACTGTGTGATCATTTTACATATCTTTTACAGCAGTTCGTCATTAACACTGGCAGCAGATCGCCCAATGTTTGAACATTGAAAAATTTATGTTTATTGATTTGTTTGGTACAACTTGGGTTTCGTGTCACCCGCAAGTTACATCAACTTCCTTCATCGATCCCTGACAAAGCAGCTGTAGCGCTTCAGTAATTGCAAGACTCTTAGAGTGCACTAATCAGGATGGTCGTAGTGTACGTACGGTCGTTGCATGCATGAGGTCAATTCCCACCCAAGCAGTTATTTTCAGTCTAAGTAAATTTAGGCTCAGTATTATTCGTTACACTGCTATACTGAGTCTAACAAACCCTAGTAGAAGGTCGCGTCATCTAACCTTTTGGACTGACCAGTCAGAACACAGCTTACCAAATCGCGAAAGTTAACATTCACATATACTGTTTGAATCTTTACCTCAAAAACTCGAACGATTCCGAATGCTATTTTCCGCACGATCGCTTACGAGTGATACACATGGAGGACGCAATGAGTAAACAGTCGGTGACAACATGGGCTTCAGCAATATATCCATGTGGGGATTTGTGACGAGCCAACGCTTTAACCACTTGGCTACCCCACCGCCCCGTCAATATTCAAGGATGTCATCTTACGGACATATAAGCTAATAGTAGCCATGTCATTAGAAACCATTAAGCGTATATACCGCAGGTCAAATATCTGTGTTTTATGCGGATTTTCGTTTGTTGATAGATCAGTGTCAGCGACCAGGGAAGAGAAAATACAAAAACCGTTTTGTAGGTCCCGCCGAACCCTAACAAGTAGTCGTTGTCTGATTGGTTAAATCCGTTCGGCCGTCACGCGTTTCATTGGACGGCCATAGGTCGCCCAAAGGTTAGCTGACGCAACCTTCTACTAGGGTTTGTTTGACTCAGTATAGCAGTGTAACGAATAATACTGAACCTAAGTTTACTTAGACTGAGTTATTTTCAAAAGTCCCGTTCAATGAAATATGCTGAATGTGATTCAGTTAGACCAGTTTCGATTACATGTCCCACTGAATGAATGATGCTGTATATAAATACATCGCACAATGCAATACTGAGAACAGTAATGTAGCTTTTAAATATATTTTGCAGATATCCCTATGAAAAAGGAATTGCGTTTCTTAGCAGCAAGAAATATATACTTTGCCAAATTTTTGCAGATATTGTGATTAGTGGAACAAAATAGCAACATTTTCTCGCAAGTTGGGAACATGTGATGATATTGAGGTGTGAGATGTGATCGCAGATCAAGGTAAAATTGGCACACGAGTCAAAAGGGAAATTCATCTTCAACAATTGGTAAATTACAAAAAGGACAAAAACGTCCATGTCTTGGAATGGTATACTATCTGCATGTTTCTAAGAAAATTTAAAATACTAATTCGAAATAGTTGCACATCGATGAGTAGAACCCAGTTATGATATTGAGAATTATATTTTATAACAGAGAACAGTTCAAGACTGAATATTTGATTCTCAAAGTCTGCACATCTTTGCCTAAACTGATCGAAGAATAAACCAGCCCATCCAACACCCTGCTAAATCCAAACCTCTGCGAATTCGTACAAAAGCAACAATGATTTAACCTTGAGTGCCCAGCAAGCACCACCATTCTCTGCCCTTTTATATTGAAAAGTATAGGCTTTTTTAAATATCAAGTTATTTTCTTAAGTTAATAATCTAAGCCCAAATTTTACAATTTTTGAATAATCGTCCTACTGAATCGTGACATAGAAAGACTTCGTGGAGGATCAATGGTTGAGCTGTATTGTCAATCAGTTGCCATATTTGATTGCGTCACCTTGTGTTGGCTCCAACATAGATATGTCCCCAGCGCTGTATTGTGTGACGTAAGAGACGAATGGATTGGATTGTTCAGTCTGACTCCGTACCGCGTGACTTGATTAATCGTATTAGTTGATCGAATCGACGCTAAATCTGGACTAAACACTTTCAACGACGCTTTGCTATTGTTCAAGACATTGATTCTGAGCCAGGAAGACAGTGGCCAGTCTGAACGTGCAACTGAACCTACAGATCAGACTGGTTCCGTGGGTATGCTGCGCTGGCGCTGTATACCCTGGGACCCATGCTGACAACAGATCACTACGCTTACCTATAGAAACATTATGTTTCAAATGCATGGTATAAATCACAGAAACCTCTCGAATCTGATGATTCCAGAATTACAGTCAACAGACTGTATTGATTTCTAAATAACCTAATTAGTACATCAGGTAAAGTACGGTGGAGTACTCATATTTCTGTCAGCCTTCGCCATCCAGTTCTATATATTTGACAAACGAGATTGTTACCATTCACAGGTGTTACTGGTCAGGCGGAATGCCACTATGTGTCTCACGCATGCTGTTTTATTGTTACTTGAGGAAATGGTAAATCAGTATCCTGCTTTAAATGCGACCTGATACCTTGAAGAGCAAGCACAGTAAAACAGGCAATAGTCAGTTCCATCACTCCGCGGAATTATTGTTGTGGGAGAAGGCAGGGGTTCAATTTTGTTTTAAAAAGCCACTTGCCACAGGGCAAGTGACTTTAAGAAAGTAACTTGTCCTGACTAATTTTCCACTTGCCCTGATTTTATGACATAATTATGATGATGTAATTATGAAAGAAGACATCAACATGGTATTTGATGTTAATGTTTACTGGACTATTTATTGAAAAGTGATAAATAGCAAAGAAAGATAACTCTACTTTATTATCATTGCGAAATTTAATAGCTACATTTTGAGCAGATATGAAATTAAATCCAAGTTTATTTGCAGTTTGAAACCATTAGTGGAAATTATCTAGCAGCCCACGGACAAGTAAGATACCATTATTTGATTGCCCGAAATGAAAACTCACTTGTCCCGGGCGTCGGGCGATGGGATTTTGAACCCCTGGAAGGTCACACCATTCTCCACTCATTCCAACCAGCCCTAGTCATAGTCCAAGTAGAGAATGCCTTGACTACATGCTCTCAGAGAATAGGTATAAAATTGAATAAACTCTTCACAAGACTTCTTGTAACGCCTGACGTCAGAACGACAGCATGTCATGGATCACTGAACGGGCCAGTCTTGAAATTGAGGTGATTGGATATATACATTCGCCATTCCGCTCACCTGGGTACCTTTGTAACAAAGAATCCTTGGCGCTACGTCAGTCGTAAGTCTATCATATGGTTTGGGAGTTATGATCACCTTAGCGATAAGATCGTTTTGTACAAAGGCACACAGGAGATATTAAATAAAGTTCATTTCACAAAGTATCAGTCTAAGTAAACTTAGGCTCAGTATTTATTCGTTACACTGCTATACTGAATCTAACAAAACCTAGTAGAAGGTCGCGTCAGCTAACCTTTTGGACAGACCAATTAGAACACAGCTTACACGCAATGACCTGCGTGATACACGCAATGGGTAAACAGTCGCTGAAAATAGCGTTTTTGTCAATATTCAATGATGTCATCTTGCGGAAATATAATCAAATAGTAACCATGTCATCAGAAACCCATACGCGTATATACTGCAGGTCAAATATCTGTGTTTTATGCGGATTTTCGATTGTTGATAGATCAGTGTCAGCGACCTGGGCCTAGATTTTCAAAGCTCTCTTAGCGCTAAGATAGTACCATACATTAACATTAACTTACGACTATCTTAGCGCTAAGAGAGTTTCGAAAATCTAGGCCAAGGAAAGAGAAAATCCAAAAACCGTTTTGTAAGTCCCACCGAACCCTAACAAGTAGTCGTTGTCTGATTGGTTAAATCCGTTCCGCCGTCTCGCGTTCGATTGGTCGGTCATAGGTCGCTCAAAGGTTAGCTGACGCGACCTTCTACTAGGTTTTGTTAGACTCAGTATAGCAGTGTAACGAATAACACTGAGGCTAAGTGCACTTAGACTGCACAAAGTATATGTCCACATTCAGATCAGCTGGCATAGCCCTTTAACGTACTCTACTGAGCTAGCCTCGGTAGTGTGATATACCCTTCCTTGTCTTTTTGTCACCGACTTATCTCCCAGGACCCGTGAAGATCCGGGTTAGAAGTGATCTTCAGTATCCCATGCTTGTCTTAAGAGACGACTAACGGGATCGGGTAGTCAGGTTCGCTGACTTGGTTAACACATGCCATCGTATCCCAGTCGCGTAGATCGATGCTCATGATGTTGATCACTGGATTGTCTAGTCCAGACTCGATTATTTACAGACCGCCGCCATATAGCTGGAATATTGAGTGCGACGTAAAGCTAAACTCACTCACTCACTCACTCACTCACTCACTCACTCACTCACTCACTCACTCACTCACTCACTCACTCACTCACTCACTCACTCACTCACTCACTCACTCACTCACTCACTCACTCACTCACTCACTCACTCACTCACTCACTCACTCACAGGCCCAGACCCCCTGCCAATAAATGTGTGTGTTATTTCAAGATCCTATCGTCTTTGTCTCCCCAGGATCAGAGTGGCTTGGAAGTGAGGGTTTCGTATTGTCCCGGTGAGTAAAAAATGTTGCAGAATGTTTTGCAATAAATTTAGACTTATTATTATCATTATTATTGAGATTTGTATTGGTTATAATTCGTCGTGGTTTCGAAATATTCATTTTAGATTTATTTCATATTTGAATCATTTCGATCTTTTGTAAACATCTGTTATATTATGTTTGAATGTTTCTTGGATTTCTAACAACAGAAAAAGGACATGATGAGTTGATGAGTATATTAAGAAGAACATGAAGAACACAAATGGTATATTGGTATAGGCAGGATATAGTTCAGGGCCCCGTTCCACAAAGCGATGGTAGCGCTAAGATGATCGTAACTCCCATACCTTAACATAGACTTACGACTGTCGTAGCGCTACGATCGCTTTGAGGAACGGGGCCCAGGTGACGTCATGTAATAAATTTGTGACGTCATGAACAATGGATGGCGTCATATAATTTATTTTTTTTACACTAAGCACTGTGACGTATCATTCAACATCGGCAACATGTGCAAATGTTGGAAAGTAATTGGGTCTGGGCTGCGTGTAGAAGGCCAAGGGCCCTGAGCTGCCAGGACCACCCTATCTACTGCATTGTATTTTTAATCTGTAAAATATAATAATTATAATATGTGGGAATATTTACAAGATTATCTTAACCCACCTAACAGTTACTTTTTACAAAATAAAAACAGACCCTTATTTATTTCCAAGGTCAATTCGTCACGATCAGTGGTCCTACAAGCCAATCTCTAAAGGAAGGTTGTTTGAAGCTGGTTGGCATAGACTTGAACATGGCATTTGCATCAACCTTATCTTTGTGCATATTCTCCTGCTCGATATTTGCCACATCAACGTCAAGTGTGGGCTCGAGCGCCACGCAGCGCAACAACTCCGACACCGAACACCATGGCATTGAAATCGCCGGTGTCCTGTTTGAAAATGTGAGACAGCCCATGATATATACCATCGTTCTCGTTGTGGCAGCCGTTAGCAAAGTTGGTGAGTGTGATTATAATCTGTAGTGGTATATTCATGATAAGCGATATAATCCCAACTGTTTATATTAGTACTTCTTATATTACAAGCACATCATATGTAAGACCGCCTCCGTGGTGTAGTGGTTAGAGCGTCCGCCCGGAGAGCGGAAGGTCGCGGGTTCGATCCCCGACCGTGTCATAACAAAAGACGTTAAAATATGGTACTTGTTGGTCCCTGCCTGGCGCTCGGCATTAATGGGTACAACACGGACTGGTCGGCTCGGAGTCAGTATAATGTGTCTGAGTGGGGTATTCATGCTTCACTGCGGCATGGTACCTCAGTGGGCTAGCACTATAAAACCAGCTTAAGTCTAGGCTAGTACAAGCAGCCGCACATACACATACACACGCATGCACGTCGTCATATGAGCGAAATAATCTCAAGCACGACGTTAAACCCAATTTCACCTCACCTCACATCATATGTATTACAGTGCGGACCCGCGAAGCTACCCATGCTTGTTGTAAGAGGCGACTAACCGGATCGAGTGGACAGGCTTGTGGACTTCTTGTCACGGTTCGATTATTTGCAAGTTTTTTGTCATAAAGCTAGAATACAGCTTTAAACAACGCTCGCACGCATACCTATATACATATACATGTGTACTCATGGAAACAAATAAGGGAACACCTGAAAGTATTCTTTTCCAGGTTTCTTCACAAGCTTTGTATTGCACTGTGGGTGAAATTCTGGAAAAAGAATAAAGGAACACTTGTGCTTTCATGTGTCCCCTTATTCGTTTCCACGAGTAACTGGTAAATAATCGATTGATATCGATGTACGTTGACACGCTCTCATGCAAGTGACCACGTCAGACATCTCGATCTTTTTGTCGTTTTTTGCGCATCAAAGTAATTGTGTTGTAGCGTAAAACGAATGAGATAGGTGCAATAGATGTAACACGAGAGATATTATTTTTTATGATGTTTCACTGATAGCACAAATACACCAACGTAAAAAACGGCAAACCACTGAGAAAACATGTGTCTGGTATCCATGTTTCACAATCACGGTGCCAATATTTACTGCACGATATCACCTAACAAAATATATCTTGTTGCAGCTTTACACCATGCACGTTTCCGTTTGATATCACGTAACAATAAATATCTTGTTGCAGCTTTTCACCATTCAGATTCCCATTTGATATCGCCTAATAATAAATATCTTGTTGCAGCTTTTCACCATGCACAGTTCCGTTTGATATCGCCTAACAATAAATATCTTGTTGCAGCTTTTCACCATGCACAGTTCCGTTTGATATCGCCTAACAATAAATATCTTGTTGCAGCTTTACACCATGCACGTTTCCCTTTGATATCACGTAACAATAAATGTCTTGTTGCTGCTTTTCACCATTCATATTCCCGTTTGATATCGCCTAACAATAAATGTCTTGTTGCAGCTTTTCGCCATCCAGATTCCCGTTTGATATCGCCTAACAATAAATGTCTTGTTGCAGCTTTTCGCCATCCAGATTCCCGTTTGATATCACCTAACAATAAATATCTTGCTGCAGCTTTTCGCCATCCAGATTCCCGTTTGATATCGCCAAACAATAAATATCTTGTTGCAGCTTTTCACCAAACAGATTCCCGTTAGATATCGCCAAGCAATAACTATCTTGCTGCAGCTTTTCGCCGTCCAGATTCCCGTTAGATATCGCCAAGCAATAACTATGTTGCTGCAGTTTTTCTCCATGGACATTTCCCTTTGATATCGCCTAACAATGAATAGCTTGTTGCAGCTTTTCACCACGCACATTTCCTCTCATCAAGGATTCCGGAGTCATGGTGAGCATAAATATTGTGTATCAATTTGTCAATTTATAACATGGCCCAACATCCAATGTTAAAAGTTGCGTCCCTTATCCGTACCAGGATCCCCCGTAGTTTCGGTTATGTCTCTAGGTTTGTCCGCCCCATACTTCCGAGTTTAATCAAAGACCTGCTCCACTTTATTCCCAGATCAGTAGTCATGATATGGCTGGGATATTGCCAACGCGAGGGATAATTTTATCTCATTCCTCCCAAATCAGGATTACACGACATGCTAAATTTCAGATACTATTCAAAGCGACGTCAAACACAACTCACTCACTCACTACTCGACCGTCTGAATCTCCGCTCAAATTGACAAGTTCGTTATTGTTTACGTCACTTCCTCAAACACAAACAGTCACAGGATTCACTAAGCCTTTTCTTTTTTCAGCCTGCTCATCATCCTGGGCCAGATATTCGGGGCGATTCTTGAGTGAGTATCCCGTGCTGCTCTCTTCATTCTTCCCTGTACCAGCGACGTATTTAAAGTTCAAAACCAAGACACGATGGACTTACTATACAGTGCCCGTGAAGATCCGGGTTCGAATTGATCTTCCGTAACCCATGCTTGTCGTAAGAGGCGACTAACGGGATCGGGTGGTCGGGCTCGCTGACTTGGTTGACACATGTCATATCCGAATTATGTAGATTGATGCTCATGCTGTTGATCACTGGGTTGTCTGGTCCAGACTCGATTATTTACAGCCCGCCGCCCTATAGCTGAAATATGCTAAACTCACTCACTCACTACTATAATCCCGTCTATAACGAACGCGCTTATTACAAACTGACACATATAACGAACTCGACCTCTTGCTGTATATTTTAGTCTACATGGATGTGACGAACTGCCATAATTAAGATCTAAAATAACCGTAGTTTACTGTACTTGCAGTTATTACCATTAAAGGAGAATACAAACGTAATAAAAAAAATTGATATATGGAAAAAAGGATCCTAAAAGTCACTTTCCATTATTAAAATTTCACAAAAAGTTTGTAAAATCGCAATAAAAACGTGAAAAACGCCCTCGAATTTCCGCCTATTACGGAAACACCCGACAGTTAATGAGCAGAGGCGGGTATCACGTGACATGACGTCAAATGTGCCTATTGCCGGTGGCTTCCTCTTTGGTTATATTGACAACTTGACAGTAAATTTGTCGAATTTTGATTGGTCAATAGCTAAAGGATACGAAGCCATGTAGGCGGATTTGCCAGGGTGTACGCTTCGAAATGTTAGAGTTGGCGTATACAATTATGAGTATAAACAGAGTATTAAAATTGTTGCCATAATTTCTTATTTGTTTGTGTCAATAAATACATTTAAATTTTTTAATGTTTCTGAATTTCACTTGTCGTTTATCAGAAACTTCAAATTCGATCATTTTATCATAAATTAAGCCATCACGAGTTATCTCCCTTTATGAGAGTGACTGTTTACTGTTTAATTAAATATATAATGGCGTTTTCTGTTATTTTCTATTGAATGTTGGTTTTGAAAGCTAAAATAAAGAGATCTTGAGGATAATAAATTCGTTACACGGTGTTTTGAAAGGGTGAACGGGACTGTAAGCCCCTTGGAAATTCCGTATTTTACGGAAATACGGAATTTACAACGGACTGTAAGGAGATACGGAATTTACAAGGATCTTACACTCCAGGCACACCCTTTCAAAACACCGTGTAACTAATAATATCTATCTATCTAATAGTATATATCTGACTTGAGGAGGCTCGTTAGATCAAACCGCGCTGGCTCCATCATAGTTCTCGGATGTATTTATCTTCCATTAACTTCCACAGCGGTGTATAGTAGGTTCAATATAGCGATTGCAGGTGTAATACACAGGCTGTGCATTGAAATTACATGAAGGATACACTAAGTCTTGAGGAATTCACATATCCTTCAGACAGAGGAAGGCTTTGGCGCAGTCAGTAAGTTTTAACGCCTTTCTGAAGACAGGTTGTTCTGTGACTAACAGAAATTAGACATATCCTTTGATGTAATGGCGAAAGTAAACAATATACATGTAACCGGTTGTATAAGGCAGATTGTCACGTGGTCAAGACGGATTTAGCAGGTATATCTGTCCGAGTGTTCGGGAAATGACTATTATATTGCAGCGTGTATTCCCCACTGTTTAGGCTGGTTGGTACAAGTCATAAAAGTGCACTTCGATACTGGAACATGTATTAAAGATTGCATGATACAATGAGTCAAACTAGAACCTTATGCATTATATGACAGATTTGTCCACTGACGTTTAGATTAATATAATTGATTTCATGCCAATACGGAATTTACAAGGATCTTACACTCCAGGTACATCCTTCCAAAGCGCCGTAATATCTGTCTATCTAATAGTATATATCTGATTTGAGGAGGCTCGTTAGATCAAAACGCGCTGACTCCACCATAGTTCTAGGATATCATAATCCTCCATTAACTTTGCTCACAGTTCTGTGACTAACTGAAATTAGGCATATCCTTTGATGTAATGGCGAAAGTAAACAATTTTACCGGTTATATGAGGCAGATTGTCACGTGTCCAAGACGGTTGTATCAGGTATATCTGTCCGAGTGTTCGGGAAATGACTATTATATTGCAGCGTGTATTCCCCACTGTTTAGGCTGGTTGGTACAAGTAATAAAAGTGCACTTCGATACTGGAACATGTATTAAAGATTGCATGATACAATGAGTCAAACTAGAACCTTATGCATTATATGACAGATTTGTCCACTGACGTTTAGATTAATATAATTGATTTCATGCCAATACGGAATTTACAAGGATCTTACACTCCAGGTACATCCTTCCAAAGCGCCGTAATATCTGTCTATCTAATAGTATATATCTGATTTGAGGAGGCTCGTTAGATCAAAACGCGCTGACTCCACCATAGTTCTAGGATATCATAATCCTCCATTAACTTTGCTCACAGTTCTGTGACTAACTGAAATTAGGCATATCCTTTGATGTAATGGCGAAAGTAAACAATTTTACCGGTTATATGAGGCAGATTGTCACGTGTCCAAGACGGTTGTATCAGGTATATATGTCCGAGTGTTCGGGAAATGAATATTATATTGCAGCGTGTATTCCCCACTGTTTAGGCTGGCTGGTACAAGTACATGTAAGTGCAGTTCGATACTGGAACATGTTTTAAAATTGCATATGACAGATTTGTCCACTGACGTTTAGATTAATATAATTGATTTCATGCCAATACGGAATTCGCTGACTCCACCATAGTTCTAGGATATCATAATCCTCCATTAACTTTGCTCACAGTTCTGTGACTAACTGAAATTAGGCATATCCTTTGATGTAATGGCGAAAGTAAACAATTTTACCGGTTATATGAGGCAGATTGTCACGTGTCCAAGACGGTTGTATCAGGTATATATGTCCGAGTGTTCGGGAAATGAATATTATATTGCAGCGTGTATTCCCCACTGTTTAGGCTGGCTGGTACAAGTACATGTAAGTGCAGTTCGATACTGGAACATGTTTTAAAATTGCATATGACAGATTTGTCCACTGACGTTTAGATTAATATAATTGATTTCATGCCAATTTCTTTCAGATATTCCGGAGGTGCTAACTACATTCCAGACTTCTTCTCCCCCCATGATTTCTTTCAGTTTCTTCTTCCTCCGTGAGTATTGTCTTCTCCGTGAATATCTTTTCCATCCTGATGATTGTCTTAATACGTGATTACTGACTTCCCCCGTGAATATCCTCTTCCAGCGTTAGTATCTTCTTTCTCCGTGAGGAACTTCCTCCTCATCCTCGATAATCTCCAGGGTATACGTTACGATCACTCTCCACTACACCCTCGATGCATCCACGGCTTGGCCCGACAATTATATTACCTCCCTTTGCTGGCTCCGCATTCTCACAGTAGCCAATCCGCTAAGCCGCCGTTACATCCGAGCTTGCCAGTGTCAACAAAGATAGCGGTCGCAGTCGCGAAGGTTTGTTCGCAGTGCGACTCAGATTTTTGAGGAAATAATACAGGCAAATTGACAGATCTGAAACTTTAAAAAAATATATAAAAGAACTCCTTCTACCTCTTTCAGAATACCTCTGCATCAATTGTGTTTCCAAGTTTAAACGGTTAGATAATTTAAGAAGCGAAAGTGAGTTGTGATTGGTTCGCTCAACTTCCCAGCGTAGACACCTGATTGGTTAAAAAGCCAGCCAAGGGAGGTAATAAAATCATCGGGCCAAGCCGTGGATGCATCCAGGGTATAGTGGAGAGTGATCGTAACGTATACCCTGGAGATTATCGAGGATGCTTCCTCCTACGCGAGTAATTCTTCCTCCATACTGCGTTATACTGTCACTGTGGAAGTAGGCAATAAGTTCGTTATGACACACACTAGTTGTCAACACATCATTTAAACCCCCGTAGATTTAACTAGTAAATTGTAATACAGGCGAGTTATGTGACGCAATGGGGATTCATTAATGGTGGGGTTCCGTCGGTAAATCTTGTTTATCACAGCCCAGATAATGACAGCACATTAAAATCGAAAACTCGTTTCGAAATACCACGAACCATCAGGGGCGATGGTGTGGCACAGTGGTTAAAGCCTTCCCTCATGACGCCGAAGACCCATGTTCGATTCTCGAAATTGGTACAATGTGTGAAGCTCATTTCTGGTGTCCCCCGCCATGATATTGCTGTAATATTTCTAAAAGCGCCGTAAAACCATACTCACTCACTTCACTACAGCACAACTAGAGACTAACATTCCGTTGAACAGAACAGTACAAATCATTAAAGCACACTAGAGCTCAAAACAGATCCCACATGCTCATGCTTTTGAAGTTCACTACTATAGCTGCCCTACTGCCTAGCGTTGCTGTATGGCTGAAATAGTGCTGATGTGACGATAAATTTGAACTCACTCACCCACTCACTCACTCACACCTGCTCACGCTACACCGCGGACCAATACAGCACAATACAGCACACTTTAACTCAGTACAAACCAATACAGCACGATACACTAAGACAAATACGGTAGTCTGCACCAAACAACAGACACCAATAGTATCATCCCACTACGTACAGTATTCACCGTGAAGATCCGGGTTAGAATCGATCTTCAGCAACCCATGCTTGTCGCGACAGACTAACGGGATCGGGTGGTCAGGCTCATTGACTTGGTAGACACATGTCATTGTATCCAAATTGCGTAGATCGATGCTCTTGGTGTTGATCACTCTATTGTCTGGACCAGACTCGATTATTTACAGACCGCCGCCACATAGCTAGATTATTGCTGAGTGCGGCGTTAAACATCAAACCAACCTACACAGTATCGCTCAGGGACCGCCTCAGTGGTGTAGTGGTTAGAGCGTCCGCCCGGAGTGTGGAAGGTCGCGGGTTCGATCCCCGACCGCGTCATACCAAAAGACGTTAAAATATATGGTACTTGTTGGTCCCTGCCTGGCGCTCGGCATTAATGGGTACAACAAGGACTGGTCGGCTCGGAGTCAGTATAATGTGTCTGAGTGGGGTATTCATGCTTCACTGCGGCATGGTATCTCAGTGGGCTAGCACTATAAAACCAGCTTCAGTCTGGGCTAGTACAAGCAGCCGCACATACACATACACACGCATGCACGTCGTCATATGAGCGAAATATTCTCAAGCACGACGTTAAACCCAATTCCACAACCACCACCACAGTATCGCTCAGTACAATTCACAGCAACACACGACAGACAGTACTGCACAATACAACACAATACAGGACACGAATTCAACTTAATACTGACTAATACCGCTCAGTCAAGTTGAGCACAACACACTATAGACCGACAAGACAACTTACACCTTGTATTAAGGATGGTCAGTTATGACGTCATTTCCAACACGTATTTCAGGATCATCCTGGAAGCGGCCTACAGCCTCCATGACAGGACGTTTGCTGACAACATCGGATCTGTCCTCCTGTTTGCTGTAGTTGTGAGTTGTTCAGGGACATCTGATCAAAGTCTACATTACGTGTTTTCACGCGCATCGCACGTGACATTCCCTGTACCATTTCAGTACCATCTGGGTTACTTAAAGTCATACGTATAGTCAACACTTTCTACTCCGGTGTCAATTAGTGTATTATTTCAATTAAGTTTGCATTTATTAAAGTCGTACATATAATTAATACTGGATACTCTCTTAGTCATACCTATAGTTTATACTTTATACTATTTGTCATTTTAATCCAATTAGCTTTTTTCTTCATGTTTTATGTATCCTAGTTAATACTGGGTATTCTCGTAGTCATACGTAGACGTTATGCTTGTCGTGAGAGGCGACTATCGGGATCGGGTGGTCAGGTTCGCCGACTTGGTGGACACATGTCACCGTATCCCAATTGCGTAGATTGATGCTGATGATGCCCATCACTGGACTGTCTGGTCCAGACTCGATTATTTACAGATCGCCACCATAAAGCTGGAATATAGCTGAGTGAGGCGTAAACTAAACTCACTCACACTAAGTCATACTTTATACTCTCTCTGTCCAGTTTGCTTTTCTTCAAGTCACACGTTAAGTCAATACTTGGTACGCTCTGTGTCATTTGTATAGTAAGTACTGGATATTCTCAGAGCCATATCAGTACCCTTTGCTATACGTTCTCTCGTCACGCCGAAGACCCGGGTTCGATTCCCCACATGACAATGTGTGAAGCTCATTTCTGGTCTTCCCCGCCGTGATATTGCTGGAATATTGCTAAAAGCGGCGTAAAACTAAACTCACTCACTCACTCACCTTTACCAAAACTGCGACTCAGACAAGGATAGGACATCGTAAGACTATGATAGTGCGTGACTTTGACAAGAACTGTAATTGTGGATAAAAAAAGAGACAAAGGGTGTCATCTTTCCCAACCATGGTTATCACTGATAACAAGACACATATATTATTCTGACGTAAGACTCACTCACTCACTCACTTTGGTTTCAGGGAACCATACTGGCCTTCTTTGCACTGGGTGAGTAATTTTATAAACAGGTCACAGAAAACATCTTGTTTCCGTATTATTTTGGTGGAATTTACTTTCAGTGCTTGTTCAGAAATTTGATGTGTTTCTTCCTGAACAAGTCGACAATTCAGAGATGCAACATTACCGTACACGATTATCAGGTATCCGTGAAGATCCGAGATAGAATTGGCCTTCGGAAACCCATGCTAAGACGCAACTAGCAAGATCAGGTGGTCAGGCTCACTGACTTGGTTGACAATTCCAATAGCGTAGAACGATGATCGTGATGCAAGTCACCGAATTGTCTGGTCCGGACTAGTTTATTTACAGATCGCCTTCAAATCATTGGGATAGATGCTGAATGCGGCGTTAAAAGAAATATGAATTAGCTAGTGAAATCTTTTGGATCTATTCTAAACGACTAACAATATAAGTACTCCACTGAGGTCATTCTTTAATGGTATATTTAAAATCACCTACCCTTGAGAAAATAGTATCTTAACAATCAAGACCCATTCTGTATGATATCGCCACTGGATAAGCACTGCATGCCCTTCACCTTCATATCGTGAAGATCTCTGAACTGTAGGGCCGGCAGTGTAGTCCACCGTTGAAAGCGATATCTTGTCATGCCGAAGACCTAGGTTCGATTCCCGATAAATATACATTATGGTATCTCTAAAGCTGATGTTGCTGGAAATCTACCGAAGCGGCATAAAACAATACTCATTCACTCTGATTCCTAAACTCCGCTTATGCTTGCAGGTCTCACTCTGTGGGGTCTAGCCATGGGCGGGGCGATGGGGGTTTTCCCCTTCCCGATAACACTCACGCAGATCCTCATCTTTGCCGCACTCATCGTCGCTGTGGACCCTGTGGCGGTAGGTGGAAGCTGTCATTACGTGGTTTATGTCACCTTCTCACAATGTCAATGATTACCAAGTACTGATCTCAACACAACATGGCATCTGCGGAAACCATATTGAAAGAGCTAGAGTTCTATTTGATATTGTGTCCAAACAAACGTTGTTCTCTATTACGAAGTTTGGTTTTGACTGATGATTGTTCCACACAAAAATGTTAATGTACTCGCATAATGAAACTAATTCTTTCAACTCGACATGAAATGAGCTAGACAAGTGAACGTAACAAAATGGAAATACAATATGGTAGCCGAGTGGTTAAGGCGTTCACCCGTATCGCCGAAAACTCCGGTTCCATTCTCCAGTTCGAATTTCACATGGTATAATATGTGAAGCCTATTGCTGGAATATTGCTGACAGTATGTTAAAAAAATCCTCACTCACTTCATAACTTCAGTTAAATTGTTGAAACAGACATGAAACTGTTTGTGTTTCAGGTTCTAGCTGTGTTCCAGGAAATAGGCGTCAACAATGTTTTGTATTTCATGGTTTTCGGAGAATCTCTGCTCAACGGTAAGGCCACGTCAAGGTTCTGTTCTACCCCTTGTTTTATCTGTTGTCTGTAGGCAGATTTGATATACTCACGAGTGTGTGAACATAAATGCTAAATATACAACTTCAGAAAGTGACCACCGGAATCACGTGGTCACTGCCTTTCTTGCGTTGTCCATTATTCACTCAAAAAGTGGTTCTTTTCACTCTCATTAATGATATTATCCAAGTTGTATCTCAACTCACAGGATCCTTTCACTGATGTTAATATATAATGGAATAGTTCAGTATAAAGTAATGTGTAACGTCTTTTGTCTGTAGATGGCGTGACTGTGGTCCTGTATCAGGTCATGCAGACATACAACAAACTCAATTCATCAGGTCAAGGTGTGGACGGTAAACAGGTAAGACTACAGCTAAATCAGGTCATGCAGAAATACAACGACCTCACTTTATCAGGTCAAGGTGTGGACGGTAAACAGGTACGACTACAGCTGTATCAGGTCATGCAGACATACAACGAACTAGCTTTATCAGGTCAAGGTGTGGACGGTAAACAGGTAAGACTACAGCTGTATCAGGTCATGCAGACATACAACAAACTCACTTTCATCAGGTCAAGGTGTGGACGGTGAACAGGCTAGACTACAGCTGAATCAGGTCATGCAGACATACAACAAACTCACTTTATCAGGTCAATGTGTGGACGGAGAACAGGTAAGACTACAGCTGAATCAGGTCATGCAGACATACAACGACCTCACTTTATCAGGTCAAGGTGTGGACGGTAATCAGGTAAGACTACAGCTGAATCAGGTCATGCAGACATACAACAAACTCACTTTATCAGGTCAAGGTGTGGACGGTAAACAGGTAAGACTACAGCTGAATCAGGTCATGCAGACATACAACAAACTCACTTTATCAGGTCAAGTGGTGGGAACAGGTAAGACTACAGGTAAATCAGGTCATGCAGACATACAACAAATGGCCTATATCAGGTCAAGGTGTGGACGGTAACAGGTAATTATCAGCTTAATCAGTTAATGGCATATTCACCAGATGTAACATATTATGTTTGTACATACACAGATACACTTCTTGTCTTCACAATTTTTTCTGAATGTAAGTACGAATAAATGTTTAATGGACACATACATGACATAATCTGACACTTACGCTCTCCCCACAGATTGGACTCGGTATCGTGAAGTTCTTTGTGGTGTGTTTCGGTGGCCTAGCGCTCGGTGTCCTCGCAGGGGTCGTGACAGCACTCTTGACGAAATGCACCAGGAAGGTTAAAAGTAAGCAGGAACCCCACGAGTATTGACCAATGCAACTTGTCACAAACCAATGTACACAAGTAGGTGTTAGAGCACGGCACTTGCGATCTTCTCCGCAGCAGCGATCGTATAGTGGAACAGGCTATGGCGGTGTTCCATTGGTGATGTGTACCCGTACAGATCCGGGTTAGAATTCATCGTCAGCAGCCAATGCTTGTCGTAAAATGCATCTTACGGGATCGGTGGTCAGGCTCGCTGACTTGGTAGACACATGCCATCGTATCCCAATTGCGTAGATCGGTGGGCATGGTGTTAATCATTGGATCGTTTGATCCAAGCTCGAATATGCACAGACTGCCACCATTTATTTGGAATATTGCTTAACAACAATAAACAATCATTGCTGAAGTGGTAGTGGAACATGAGAAGTATTTTGGTTACTTCCAGAATCCCATTTGAAATTATTTTTGGCCCCGTGTGCCGTATTTTAAACATTTATAAATATCTGCCATTCTTTTTTCTTTACGTCTGAAGCAGATTGGGAGTTTTCGAATGCAGAATTTGCTCAGACTGATAGGCTGATCGTTCACACCGTCTCGTATTCTTGCCAGGCTTCCTGGTTCGAGTTGCAGTTATGATCCTTACCTTCTCAGCGCCAGGTCTGGGCTGTTTAACACCACCACCCGGTGTCCCTTTGCGATTTTCTCAGAAATATGTTGACACGTCATGGTATTACACGGTATTATTGTTAGAGGAATTCTTTTAGTCCTTTGCTTTTTTGTTTGTCATTAAATCCTTTGAGCGTTCTGCTCAATAAAGAGGAGGGTTACAATCCCGGATATTATTGAATATCTTGTGGAAGATCACACCTACACCTGTCTTAATGCAAGTTTGAGACAAGCTCCAGAAACAAAGTCAAAGCCACCAATACCTTTGCTGTGCCAGTCCTTTCCTAGTCCTTTGGAGTAGTTGATTGGACAAAACAAGACATCCAGAGTCTTGACCGCCTGACCAGAAGGATCATGTCTGATAACACAATCCAGCACCCCAGGTCCTCTCTAGATCGTTCTGGGGCGGTGGGGTAGCCTAGTGGTTAAAGCGTTGGCTCGTCACGCCGAAGACCCGGGTTCGAATCCCCACATGGGTACAATGTGTGAAGCCCATTTCTGGTGTCCCCCGCCGTGATGTTGTTGGAATATTGCTAAAAGCGGCGTAAAACCAAACTCAGTCAGTCAGTCTAGATCGTTCTAAAATGCCAATTATTTCAGGAGGTCGGGGTTTGATTAGTGTGGAGGCTCTTCATGGTAGAAATCTATTGTGGACTTTTGCACATATTTATTCATCGGATAATCCTCTGGTGATGCATTTCCACAGCTATTTTGAGCCTGCCAAGGTTGTTGGACAAAATCTGAAATTTGAGGTTGAGTTTGTTGATGGCAACGTACTGCTTGACGGTACAGCAATGGGAGTAAACCAGGTGAAGTTCTTCACCCAGTCTGCATAGAGTCGATCACTTTTGGGGACGTTTTCTGAGAAACCATTGCATCGTGGGTACATGCAGTGTGTGGAACAGAATAGTAATCCATCCGACTCCTTCGCCTGGTCTTAAATGTGGAAATAAAAGCTTTGCTTTCGCTGCCAAAGACCAGTCACTTCTCACTCGCAATCGCCTAAATGTGATTTTTAAAGAAAATATCAACATGAAATGTCGACTTTGCAATGAATTTCCAGAGATTTCTCCACACCTTGTCAGTAGATGGCACAACCAGCATATCTTAAACGATATGATGGTATGGCTCGCTGCTTCTACTACCGTCTTCGCCATGCATGTGGCTTTGACTTCGAGGTCAAACACACATTGTACGAGCCCCATGGTACGGCCCTGCGCTTCCAGGGCGTCATGGAAAATGATGTTTTTAAACTTTTTTGGAATAGGCCCACATACAGCCTTAGAAGAATTCCTGCCAACAAACTTGATCTTGTCCTTTTTGAGAAAGCCAACGAAATTATTTTTGTTATGTCCCTTTTGACAACAATGTGATTGGCAAGATTCAGGATAAGCATGCTAAATATGTGGGACCTTGCCTTTGAAATGTCTCGCTTGCATCCAAAGTACACTGTCGTCAGACTCCCCATTGTTCTCGGTGCCCTTGGTTTGGTGCCTCCTGATCTCTTGGCGGATATCAGGAAAGTGCCTGGGTTCAACACCGGGAGCACATCCCTTCTGGGCAATGCAGAAGGCTGCATTTTAGTTCTGCTGGATGAACGTTGCTTAACTGATTGTGACCTAAGCTCTATGCATCTCCCACTCGCTCACACACACCCCAACCCACCCACCCACCCACACTCACTCACTCACTCACTTGATGCTGTTTCAGTTGCCCAGCCTCTAATCGTGTACACTATGGCGTACCTCGGCTTCCTCCTGGCGGAGCTGTTTGAGTTCTCCGGCATCATCAGCATCATCGGCTGCGGCCTCGTCCAAGTCCAGTACTCCTTCCACAACATCAGCGAAAAGTCCAGGACGACCATCATGTATTTCACCAGGGTCATCAGGTTCGGAATTTTAAAGTCTGTAGCACTGAAGGAATCCCGTTTATCCGGACTCGGGTAGATAGCAAAATGGATAAAACAAATAAATTCCCGGCTATCCCAAATACAGTAGTAAACAACTTGGTGTAAGAAGAATGTCAGCAGGGTGTCCTGATCACGATCAGTGCTCTGTCTCATGCCGAAGACCCGAGTTCGAATCCCATAATAATTCACAGTCGGAGTCGGTGCGGCAGCCTAGTTGTTAAAGCGTCAGACCCGGGTTCTATTCCCCACATGGGTGCAATATGTGAAGGCCATTTCTGGTGCTCCCGAACGTGATGCTGCCAAACGCGGCATAAAACCATACTCACTCACTGACTGGAAAACAGTGCAGAGAAAAGCATGTCGCTGTATAGAGTTGAGTCCCTTGGGCACGCCTGAAACCTGAGATAGTGTGAAGGTGTTAGTGTTACACCTGAGAGTGAAATGTGTTTTACGCCGCTTTTAGCAGTATTCCAGCAATATCACGGCGGGGGACACCAGAAATGGGCTTCACATATTATACCATGCGAAATTCGAACTAGGGTCTTCGGCGTGACGAGCGAACACTTTAACCACAAGGCTACCCCACCGCTCGTTACCCCTGGGAACAGTTAACATCTGGGGTAATCATTTATACCGGCGACAGCATTCACCATGGCGATAAGTTGCATAATATATCCTGTGTAAACTAACGCTCACCATTTTGCATAGGCGGATACTATATACTACTACTATATATGTTAGAAACAGGCGTTGACTGTAAGTGAATTCATCCACTATTCAAATAGGTCAAGTACAACTTTAAACAAAAGATGACGCCTGTGCGTGTATGTGTCCGTAAACATAACAGGTTGTACTTTTTGACAAATATACGCCACATGGCTCTGAAGGTTAAAATATCTGGAGCAAATGTATTTTTCACCTACTTTGGCCGTCTTATATGATACAAACCGCGAAACAAAACTTTTCAAAAGGACTTTGGGAAGGATAAAGGATTTCAGTAGTTCCTTGAGTAATAATATCAACGAAGTTAGCTTCATGCCATGCGAGTTCACGACAGAGTAACACTGTCAAACTGAAAGTCAGAAATCTGTAAATGTGGGTTCGAATCCCGATTCGCGCCGATTATGTTTCCAGGTTTGTCTGCACCAGAATCATGCTTGGGTTTAAGTATAATGCACATCTGAGTACAGCATCACTTCGGGCTTCCTCCAAAGTGGAACTGACTCGGCTTTTGAAAAGCGGAATACTGTTCAAAGCGGCGTTAAACCCAACTCACTCACTCACTCTTGTATCTCAGAGCATTCTTTTTCTTCATCAGCACCACCAACGAAATCATCATCTTCCTCTTCCTGGGATTGGTGATGTTCCGGAATAACGAGCGCATGTGGCACACTGGCTTCGTGCTGTGGACCGTCTTCTTCTGCTTCGTGTATAGGTTCATCAGTGAGTAGAAACCGACAGCTACCCAACGTCAAAACCCGTTAGTGGGATTACAGTAATGCCAATCCTCTCTACCGGTTTTATGTGTGGCAAACCACTGACATGTTCCTTAAGTGACAGCCAGGCGAGAAGCTGATTCTCCCGATCCAACTTTGCATTGGTGGAAATATTTAATACACTACAGATATCTGTCCAATCTTACCATTGTCCACGATTAGGTGTGTGTGTCTAAAGACAAAGGCAGCATCCTTGTGAATTCTGGAGTTTTCTTACATTAGCAGTTTGTTGAGAAATGTGACCAATTAAATAGTGTTTTGGCAACAGTTCAAAGTATATCTGCTTCTTTAGTTATATTTGTAGCAGTTGTATTTTCGTGAAATCATATCATTAATATTTGTGTGCAAGACCGAAAGTGACTGGGTGTTGCATTCTTGTATCCTTAAAGAAATATGTTTATTAAGTCACTTGTACACACTGGAATGTATTATATTCAAAATCTGTTCCATTCGAAAATTTGTTTCGCACAAAATATTTCTTGGGAAATACCAAAATATCCAAACGTTTGTGCTTAAAGTCAAAAGGAAAAAAAATATTCGTTGGACAAGCTTGGTGAAAATAAATTGTTGTAAAAACACCACCTCCCCATCCAAATCTAGTGGATGTGCCAAAAAGGAAAGAACACTGTGTAAGTCAGTCGTCTTTGTGTATTCTTCAGTCACGTTCTTCTTGTCCTTCCTGATCAACAAACTGGACAACGACAGAACCAGGGAGATCTCTTATGATGAACAGTTCATAATTGTAAGTAGAAGCTACATACGCCAGAGTTCATGATTGTACGTAGAAGCTACAGATCCCAGAGTTCATGATTGTAAGTAGAAGCTACAGATCCCGTGATATTAAGTAGAAGCTACAGATATCGCAGTTCGTAGTTGTAAGTTGAATCTACAAATCCCACTGTTCATGATTAAATGTTAAAGTTACAGAACCCCCAGTTCATGATTGTACGTAGAAACTACAGATCACAGAATTCATGATTGTAAGTATAAGCTACAGATTCCCGAGTTCATGAGTGTACATAGAAGCTACAGATCCCAGTGTTCATGATTGTACATAGAAGCTACAGATCCCTGAGTCCATGATAATACATAGAAGCTACACATCCCACAGTTATTGATTGTACATAGAAGCTACACATCCCACAGTTCATGATTGTACGTATACGCGACAGAACCCGAACGACTGTGAAATATTCAGTGACACATAATGATTGTTTCCCACAAGAACAGGCTCCAGTATTCCACTGCGGTTCAACAGCACTGATGGCCGAAAGTTTTATTTATTTAGGAGTTTGAATTGGATTTAAGACTTGTTTGATATCTTGACCCCACGGCGTGTCATTTTGCTCATGGTTTCCACCACTGGTTTATCTTGCAAAGCTCAGTTCTTTACCAGCAGATAAATAAGTATGGATCTTTGCTGACATTTATAGAGTCATTCAGTCCTATAATAATTGGTGGGGTAGCCTAGTGGTTAAAGCGTTCGCTCCTAACGCCGGAGACGTGGGTTCTTTGCCCCACATGGGTACAATGAGTGAAGCCCATTTCTGGTATCCGCGGCCGTGATACTGCTGGAACATTGCTAAAAGCGGCGTAAAACTAAATTCACCCACTCGCAGTCAGAGCTGTACAACATCTAGATTTATAACGTTCACAGTGTAGCAAGCATTATAACTAACACAGCAGTGAACCAGGCCTTTGTGGTAGATACCATGCTTTATAACGTTCACAGTGTAGCAAGTATTATAACTAACACAGCAGTGAACCAGGTCTTTGTGGTAGATACCATGCTTTATAACGTTCACAGTGTCACAGTGTAGCAAGCATCATAACTAACACAGCTGTGAACCTTTGTGGCAGATACCATGCTTTATAACGTTCACAGTGTAGCAAGCATCATAACTAACACAGCTGTGAACCAGGTCTTTGTGGTAGATACCATGCTTTATAACGTTCACAGTGTAGCAAGCATCATAACTAACACAGCTGTGAACCAGGTCTTTGTGGTAGATACCATGCTTTATAACGTTCACAGTGTAGCAAGCATCATAACTAACACAGCTGTGAACCAGGTCTTTGTGGTAGATACCATGCTTTATAACGTTCACAGTGTAGCAAGCATCATAACTAACACAGCTGTGAACCAGGTCTTTGTGGCAGATACCATGCTTTATAACGTTCACAGTGTAGCAAGCATCATAACTAACACAGCTGTGAACCAGGTCTTTGTGGCAGATACCATGCTTTATAACGTTCACAGTGTAGCAAGCATCATAACTAACACAGCTGTGAACCAGGCCTTTGTGGCAGATACCATGCTTTCATGAACTACAACTGTTGTCCAGGCGTACGGGGGTCTGCGGGGAGCCGTGTGCTTCTCCCTCGTCGCCCTGCTGGATGAGAACGCCCTACCCCGGGGATGAAGGACATGTTTGTAACTGCCACCCTCACCGTAATCTTCTTCACAGTGTTCGTGCAGGTATTGACCTTTGACTTGTCTCACATTAGGGTCGGGCCCTTTGTCTTGTGGTAAAAGTACTTCCAACAACGGTGGGGTGGTGGGATAGCCATGTGATTAAGGAGTTCGATCGGTTTCGTTACCCCACGGGGCGGTGGGGTAGCGTAGTGGTTAAAACGTTCGCTCGTCACGCCGAAGACCCGGGTTCGAATCCCCACATGGGTACATTGTGTGAAGCTCATTTCTGGTGTCCCCCGCCGTGATATTGCTGGAATATTGCTAAAAGCGGCGTAAAACCAAACTCACTCACTCACTCGATACCCCACAAATGTGTACATTGTGTGCAGCACATTTCTGGTGTCCGCCGCCGACAAAATGGGGTGGTGGTGGGTGCGCATCTCTCTCTCCGACCTCCCCCTCCCCCCTCCTCATCCGCATGTGCATATATGTTACATATGTTTTAGACAGTGATTTACATTCTTCCTCTATATAGTGATTTTCTGAATGTTGAGATTGGTGTCAAGTAGTATTAGTGTTTGACACTTTTCTCACACTTTGCTCGGGCACATCTGAATCTTGTCAGGTATCCCCTTACCCAAATTTTACGGAAGCAAAAACCTCTGTTATATAATGCGAGACATCATTCGAGTGATTTGCGAAGTCCAAATCTACATCGTGTCCTTCAGCGAATACAGGTGAATAAACAGGATTCCCCATGTTCTATTTCCAAGGGTATCACCATCAAGCCCCTGGTGAGGCTATTCCGTGTCCGGTTGGCTCAGAAGAAGCAGCTCAGCATGTTTCAGGATCTAAATGAAAACGTGAGTCAGGAACTTGTACTTATCTCCCTTTACACATGAATGTCGGATTGTGGGTGGCTGAGACACGCACCATTACTTTCAACCTACACCCGTGAAGATCCGGACTAGAAATCAACTTCAGTAACCCGTGCATGCTTGTCGTAAGAAGCGACTAACAGGATCTGGTGATCAGGCTCGCTGACTTGGTTGACACATGTCATCATATCCCAATTGCGGAGATCGATGCTCATCCTGTTGATCACTGGATTATCTGGTCCAGACTCGATTATTTACAGACCGCCGCCATATAGCTGGAATATTGCTGTGTGCGGCCTTAAACAACAATCAAGTATTATATTTACACCATGCCTACTGTCCTAAAATGTGGAAACAACTTACCCTGAAGTGTATAGTATTTCGAGGATAAAATATATCTAAGGGGAATAACTCTTCGTTTCCTGACGGGCTCTGTTTTTTTGATAAATATGAAAACTAAACAAAGAGGGTGAAACTCTAACCATGGTGTTCTGATCGCTGCCGACCCGAGCATATGCATGGTATATTCCTTATCCACCGTGAAGATCCGGGTTAAAATTGATATTCAGTAACCCATGCTTGCCCTAACAGGCGACTAACGGGATCGGGTGCTCGGGCTGTTGATCACGGTACAGATTGGCGGTGGGGTAGCCCAGTGGTTAAAGCGTCGGCTCGTCACGCCGAAGGCACGGGTTCGTATCCCGACATGGGTACAATGTGTGAAGCCCATTTCTGGTGTCCCCAGTAGTGATATTGCTGGATTATTGCTAAAAAGCGGCGTAAAACCCAACTCACTCACTCACTTTGTTGTTTCAGCTGATAGATCATTTGATGGGCGGCGTGCAGGAAATTATCGGTTTCCGTGGAGGATACGCTATAAAGGTGCGTGTGTCGCGTCCAATGTCTTATGTCAAAGTGTCAGAGCTATACAATATATAAAGTATTCCATGTGGCCCAAGTGTCCATATGTTTTTGTACAGGATTTTGATTTTGAAAAGCGCTTATGTACTGAATGTTGATATACAAGAGTGAGAATGTTGTGATCTTTGAGGTTCGTAAGCCAAACCAAGATCAACAAGATAAGCTAGTGCCATTCAGAGCCCTATATACAAGAGTGAGAACCTAATTCTGTAGTATGTTGACCAGATAGTTGTGTACTCGATCAAAGACATTGTGGGCGGTGGGCTAGCCTAGTGGTTAAAGCGTTCGCTCATCACGCCGAAGGCCCGGGTTCGATTCCCCACAAGGGTACAATTTGTGAAGCCCATTTCTGGTGTCCCCCGCCGTGATATTGCTGGAATATTGCTAAAAACGGCGTAAAACCAGTTACTCAGTCAGTCAAAGACATTGTCCAACGCTCTAATTGTCGATGTTATATTCAAATAGAATTTGGATTTTACGCGGCTTCAGCAGTCTTCAGTATCCGCCATCATCTGAATCTGGCAATCTCTGCCAAGGCTTGAATATGTTATTAAGATCGCCAGCTAGATTGTCAGAGTACTGTAAACACTATCCCCGCCTCAACTGGAAGCCAGTGTAATGTAGTAGTATCATCGTAATGTGAGAGTACTTCTGGGCACGTGTAACAATTCTTGCCGCTACATTTTGGACTTTTTGAAGTCTCCTCAGTGATTCTTTGCTGATGCCAAGAAGCAAACTGTTCCCATAGTCCAGCCTCGAGAGTACCAAACACTGTGCTAATGTCTTGGCTGCACCAAGTGGTCACACTCGCAGAGTAAGGCACCAATCACCTGCACACAAAGTCTGTCAATGAAGCCGGGTGAATATAAACTTATCACATAGGTGTACAAGGTACGTGGTCTAGACTACCATATGTCCCATCTTTGTATTTGTTGAAACATCAATGGGTAAGGATGCTGACTTTGTGTGCTCTCACCAGTCACAAGCGTATTCCAGTGAACTGTGTTGTGTTGTGATGTTGTGGGACGATGGGATTAGGAGAAGGATGCTGACTTTGTGTGCTGGCGATTAGGCGTCATGTCTGTAGCAATGGGTGTCTGAGACAAAGTATAATGTGTGCGACCTGTGTGGTGTGTCGAACCTTGCACCCTCGGGACTTTATGATATTTTGACCCACCTCCACTGAGTTTAAGACCACCTCACTCATTCTCCACGCAGGGGGAACTGGACCGTTTTGAGGACCGCTACATCCGGAAGTGGCTACAGATAAAGCCAGAACTCGGCCAGACCCAGATCCAGGAACTCCACAACAAGATCCTGCTCAAGTGAGTGTCACGCTGGTACCCAGTAATAACCTCTCCAGTGAACATCCGGGTTAGAATTGATCTTCAGCAACCCATGTTTGTTGTAAGAGACAACGGACGGGACCGGGTGGTCAGGCTCACTGACTTGGTTGATTGCTAAGATCGATTTTTCTGATGTCCATAAGTAGATGTCTAGTTATATTGCTGTAATATTGCTAACGATAAACCAACAAACAGTGATATTGAAAAACTGTTGAAAACTGGATAAGGCAGACAGATGCGGTTGTTCTGATGGCAAGCCCAATATGTGTTGTTTACAGTCTCAAAGGTCCATATATAAAGTACATCGGAGTGTGTTGAATAAAAGAATCCGCTTCTTGGCAACACCCACCAGGTCCAGTTCAGAGAAAGCTTGAGTTCCCAGATGCTGTGGATCCATGAAGATCCGGGTTAGAATTGATCTTCAGTAACCCATGCTTGTCTTAAGAGGCGACTAACGGGATCGGATGGTCAGGCTTGCTTACTTGGTTGACACATGTCATCGTAGATCGATGGTCATCATGCTGATCACTGAATTGTCTGTCCAGACTCGATTATTTACATACAACCGCCATATAGCTGGAATATTGCTGAACTAAACTCACTCACTCACCTGATGGTGTGGATCGCTGTTCGCGCCTTCGGCCACTGGCTTACCTGGTCCAAAATACTTTAATTCTGATTAATGTGATACAGGTGGAATATTGCTGCCTCATATGTAAAAAAACCTTTAACTCAAATGGGCGATAGGGTAGCCCTATGGTTAAAGCGTTCACTCGTCATGCTGAAGATTCGGGTTCTATTCCCCACTTTGCATAATATGTAAGGCCTACTTCCCGTGTTCCCCCGCCGTGATACTGCTGGAATATTCCTAAAAGCGGAGTAAATATACTCCCATCAAAAGTGTAGACTCACTTAATACACTCACTATATGTTATGCATATATATATGGTTACATCGAAGACTGATTTCTCCACTAACTTAGGGGAACCAACTGCAAATCTTTTGCAGATGAATTGCAACAGGATCATGCATCAAATTGCTGAAAACATGGTCAAATATCGTGCATGTGAACAGTTGCGTTTTGGTGTAAAGTTTTGTTAAGAATTCGCCAATCTTCACTGGTTTTAACATTTTTGAACTCATGACAATAATCTTTTCAACGTTACGAACTTGTTTTACAATACATCAGTTTATGTGTAAACAGTATACCTTTAAACAGTATCGAATATTTTGCAAAATTTAGTTTGGAACAGTTGCCTGATGCAAGTGGCTATATTTACACTAGTGAGTCTAAACGAAAGCTTTCCTGACAGCACATATCTTTATCCTCCCATTTCAGAGACCACTACAAGCATCTGCAACAAGGGGGAGCCTCTGCTGCGCCTGCGCAAGACAATATGTAAGCTTGCTATACATGCTTCAAGTCATTATAATTAGTTTTTTAGCATTAAAACAAGCTCAATCCATCGTTCAAAATTATGTGAAATATCTCAGTGTTTCTGTAACGTAAATAGCATGTGTTAGGAGCACGAATCATACTCTCGGTAAATTCCTCTGTAAATTTGTAAAAGAGAGTAATTAAATTAGGTGCGTAAGTGCGTAACCCGAGACCACCATGTTGGCCAGAGATCATGTACAAATTACATAATTGTATCATATTCCATAGCATCAAATTGAAACGTGTCAATTTGCAAGTGCATTCGCATCATGTTTGGAAGCTATTTCACGGAAAATCAAGCCGAGCAGACGACACTCTAAGGGACGTAACTCCATTTTGTTATCACTAGCCTGATATCATCAGTAATTCAAAATGTCTTCCCAATGATATCATCCCGGTAGAGGTGTAATACGGGTCTGCTTATTGCAGATATGACCGTCTCTATGTTGACTCTACTGCATGTGTAAACTGTATCATAGCTTTCAAAGGTATATGATAAACATACATATCTCAGACTCTAGCCCTAAAACCTCTTCTCTCAGATGTACTTCCTACTTGGCAGTAGGGATCTAAGAGCTATTATAACTGTTATTGTCTCCAAGGAAATTAGTCTTACATCATACGAAGTTCATACATGGAAGGGTAACATGGAAACATGGAATACAGACATCACTATACAATCAAACACGAGCACAGTTACGCATAATAATAAATAAACGTAGCACTCTTCAAGTAGAACAAGAAAAAAATCCTTTTAAAGTGTAAATGTAAGAGCATGGATCTAACAGTTAGCTGGTATTAGATAAAAATGCCTTCATGGACAATAACAGCCGGTTTGAGTCCAGTGTTTGGAGTGCATCTGTCATAAAACAAATTGTTTCGTCTTTAAGTCCCCAGATTGAGACCAGCTTATACCTTGGCCAGGAAGACAATGGCACCAATATTGCTCCTGGTGTTGCAGGTAAGACACAGAAGATATCTGTATTTCTCCGGACAAGATGTACAGATCACGTGGCAGGCAATACGCACCATATTGTTTTAACAAAGAGGAGATTTAAACATTCTTTCGGAGCAAACTTGGTTTTAAATATCTAGATTTTATTTGTTACCGGTTTATCGGAAGTTACCATATTATCGACATGACAAGAATGAGAAATAGTTTTATTTTTTTAATATGCTGAGTGATATATTTTTTGGAGTGAGTGTGTATGTGCTGATTGTACCACGTAGAGACTTCAGTCTGAATAAGTGCCTCACGATCAAGTCATGTTTGTCCTACATACCCAGGAAACGAATTCTTTTGTAGAAAAATTGCATCTGATTTTTCTTCTTGCTTTTTGTTCACCATCATCTATATATATATATATATATTCATGGAAGTACAAGTGTTCCTTTAATTATTTCCAGAACTTCACTCACAGTGCACACACATATATATATCAGTTTTCAAAAAGTTATTTTTTGTTGTGTATTGTAGTGGTGGTCCGATTAATTGAAATAATCGAAGATTGGTCGTAGTGACTAAACGACCAAGCAATCGATCATAATTTCTCATAATCGAACACAAACAATTCTGGAACACTTGTTTACATTAACAATTTTTTTCACATGGTTGGTTTTGTCTGCACTGCAAGTCTCGTTTCAAGTCATGATTGAATTTATCTTAAAGATTCCAAGAAATTTATGTTCCCAACATACCAGTCATCCTTTAAAGATGTGAAATTTTGCCAAAAAACCCTAAAAGAACTACATGTATTTTTCCTTATTTTTATGTGCATTAACAAATTTCATAAATGACGCTAACCAATTATTTTCGATGATTGATCGGTAGTAATGACCCAATCATGAGATTTGAACCAATTCCCAACACTAGTGTATTGTCTGTCCCTCCATGTGTATATCACCATGTTAACGAGATGGTTTTATAGGGACGCACAAGGCTAAAGACATTGATGCCTCTGACCTGAGCGGCCTGCTGAAGATGAACAAAGGAGCTGTAAGTAGGATCATGAATACATCCATTGGGTTCTATCATCTTCACGACACAAGGTTCATTCAACCCGTGAAGACCCGGGTTAGAACTGGTCTTCGGTAACCAATGTTTGTCTTAAGAGACGACTAACGGGATCAGGTGGTCAGGCTCGCTGACCTGGTTGACATATGTAATCATACCCCAAATGAATAGATCGATGCTCATGATGTTGATCACTGGATTCTCTGGTCAAGACTCGATTGTATACAGACTGTCGTCATATAGTGAGAATATTGCTGAGTCCTGCGTGAAACAACATGCAGGCAAATACACGACACGCAAGGGTGTTAATCAACCTCTATATGAGTTCAGTTTCTAGTTTGATAGGGGCGGTGGGGTAGCCTAATTGTTAAAGCGTTGGCTCGTCACGCCGAAGACCCGGGTTCGAATCCCCACATGGGCACAATGTGTGAAGCCCATTTCTGGTGTCCCCCGCCGTGATGTTGCTGGAATATTGCTAAAAGCGGCGTAAAACCAAACTCAGTCAGTCTAGTTTGATACAGGCTGACGGACACGCTTGACTACACAATGCAAAATGAAATGTTGATAAAAACTTACTATCACATCCAGAAAACAGAATCTTATTGGCAAAATGAGAAGAACTTCTAAAGTAAATACAGTAGACTTCGGTTATAACGTACAGAATGACTGGTAATTTAAGCTGGTTTTATTTTAACCGAAGTTCCTTATATACGTTTTGACTAAGTGTCCACGACAGAAAAAGTTCGTTATATCCATAAGTTCGTTACAAGCGTTTTCGTTATAGAAACAATTTACTGTTACATGAAGTGAAAATACGTGACCCTAAACTTTACTCTAAAGTTTGCCATGACTATTGATTCTGTTCAACTGTTTCAGACAAACCGCAAGTGGGACAAGAACCTGACTCAGGAAGATGATAGGTTTGCCAACCTCATCCCGATACAAACAGACGAGAACAGACGCATTGAGGCTCTTCAGAATTCTTCACCACGAAAACAGAACGCGACGCCATCAAGTCACGTTCAAGAACACCAAAACCCCGTATTTGAAAACGACCAATCAGTATCTGTTAAGTTATGAGGAAAGAAATTCAGTACTTAGGACAGGCGCGTAGCAAGCCAGTTATTTTCGTGTAAGCCCGATAGGTTGCAAAGCTTATATTTAGATACTATTGATGGCTTGCCCAACCTCTTTAGCAACAACCATGTGTAAACCTGTTATTTTTCTACAATGGTAGCTACGCCCCTGTGAGAAAACAATCTTAAGACTCAAAGGAGGTTTTGAGACGGTTACTTTGTCCACAGTATAAAATGTGATATATCGGAATATGATGGATATGCCGCATGTTCTGTGTTAAATGCATTGGAGCATCATATTCAACCAGATTTATCGTAAAGACGTTCAAGTTGATGCGATACCATGACCCAGATGAACCCTGAAGTCTATTTTGTAATACTGTTACACGTCGGAATTAGACAATACTCTCCATGTCGATCAAGACGATGCGATGTTACGTCCAAGTGCAATCCTTCTAGTGATCAGTACCACATGTGTTTACGCTTACTTGCATGTGCATTTTGTTTTGCATGGTTTTTTTCGGTGACATTTTGGCGAATATTTCTTCAAACGCTTCTAAAACAAGGGAAAAAGTTAAAATTGCTGCGTTTTGGCGCTGAAGCTGTTTAGAATCACACTAAGATTACATTTTGGAAAGAAATAGTATACATGTATTGTTTTGCCACAGCTACATGAGCCCAATATTCTCAAAATCACCTATTCGTTTCTTTTTTTGAAGAGTGTATTTGCTTGTTCCGTCAGTCAATGGAGAAACACAAAGCACCTATATTCTTGCACTGTCAACATACCATCTCAGGTAAAGCATGAGGTACATTTGTGGTTGTACCGTCAATATGCACTCCTATGAAAGCACGAGGCACTTATAAAGTTGTACTTTCAATGTACACTCCCACGGAATGCATATGGCACTTGTACACATAGTTGTACTGTCAATATATAGTTGTACAGTCAATATACAATCTCAGGTAAAGAATGAAGTACCTGTATAGTTGTACTGTCCATATACACTAGTTGATCACTGGATTGTCTGGTCCAGATTCGATTATTTACAGACCTCCGCCATATAGCTGGAATAGTGATGAGTGCTGCCTAAAACGAAACTCACACACTCATACACCATATACACTATCAGGGAAAGCATAGGACACTCACATAAACTTGTACTGTCGATATATCAAGACTGACACGAAGCATTTATATAGTTGCACTGTCAATACATAAGTTATACTCTCAATATACACTCCCAAGGAAAGCATTGGACACTTATATATATATACACACACACACACATATATATATATAGTTGTACTGTCAGTATATATATATCATCACAAGATATGCCCGGGGTTTAGAGTATTGCATTCTTAGTGTACCCTTCATGAGAGAACATGAGACTCAATGGTACTTGTTCCTATAATGAATCACAAAACAAACATGACGCACTAAGATACTTATTTCATCCTTCACAAGTCAATAATGAGACACTTGCACTCGTATTCACGCTCTGTGTTTCTCAAGACAAGTATTGCACCATTATACTGTCGATCTGATTGGTTAACACTTTTGTAAACAATACACTCGTGCATTTGTTGTTATATCATTAGCCAATCAGATCGCCGGAGAAAGTAAAGCCCGGTGCTGATGACCTAATTTTGTATACTTCCGGTACAGCAACTCAGTACTTGGCGATTTAAATAAACAACAACAAATGCATCCTCGCGGAAAGCATGTGTATGTATATGCCTCCTACACACATTGGAAATATGGTCAAAAGCTTTTGATACCAGTGAGACCTTTAGAATATGATATATTTCTTGATGTGTGCGAAATGCCCGTATTTATGTGACGAACCTTCACATATTATATAGTAGGGCACGTTGGACAGTAAACTGGGGGTTACTTTATCGAGTTTCTGACCCGCAGTGGTGGCCTATGGTCATAACAAACTTAACGGGACCACTATTAATATTTTATGTTGAATAAAACCATATTTCGTTAGATTCACTTCGAGTAATGTTTACAAACTTCAGTTCGTTATAACCGTGTTCGTTATAACCGTAATTTACTGCAGTCGTTGGTGATAGATGGGTGTGGAGACAAATTCTCAGACAATTCCACTTTGCAATTATTTGTTAACTGCACTGCATGGTGAACAGACATGGACAAGCTACGAAGTACAATGTCCACAAATTTTAATGTTTTAAATATTTTTCTACATAGTTCCTTTTGCAACAGTTGCTGATCACTGTGCACATTCAAAGAGTTACCATTTTAATCAAGAACAATAAAAGACTTGGCACTTCTCCCTCTGACTCTGTCAGTTCTGTATTAACGGATTGTATCAAAGGTTTTGTCAAAAGTTCAATAATACACAAAGACGTTGACAGAAAAAGGCCTATAACCAATTGTTAACAGGTGGAAGTATAAAACATATGACTGTACCCTCAATATCGAAGTGATCAGCCTTCTTCAGCAGGGACAAACGGTATTGGGTTTGGGTATTCAAGGGCTAGGCGGTATCTGGAGTCAACAGATGATTTGAATACATGCAACTGTGTCACATACGGTAATGTGTTGAAATCCACTTGAGATTGACTTGAGATTGAGCGTTCAACACAACAAAATATTTGAAAGAGTTGATATCAATGTTGTATTACGTGGTGTTGGCCCCAGTAGTATGATTATTTAACAAAAAAGTGTGTGAGTGAGTATGTTTTAGACTACTTTTAGCAATATTCCAGAAATCGCATCCATGTGGGGAATCGAACATAAGACTTTGGTGAGTTTAGCGAACGCTTTTACCACAAGGCCAACTCCACTTTATATACGGAACAACATACATGAACACATATACGATTTACTCAGGAGCACCAAAGGGTATCGCCCATGCTTATTGCTGACGCCACCACAGATTATGAAACAGTGAATTAATACATTATAACACAACAACAAAATGTTCTTCAGTAACCCATGCTTGTCATAAAAGACAACTAACGGGATCGGTTGGTCAGGCTCGCGGACTTGTTTGAATCTTGTCATCATATATCAGTTGCGTAGATCAATGCTCACAATGTTGATCACGGGATTGTCTGGTACAGACTTGATTATTTACAGACCGAGGTCATACAGCTGGGGTATTCCTGGGTGAACGTTAAAAAACAACAACAAATCTTAGAGCAAAATAACGTACTCCACCGACACAACCGCTACTTTGGCTTCCTTGGCATACACCGACGCCACGCCATCGTAGGAGTTGACGCTCATCCAGACGAAGCCTCCTCCGTGGTAGTAGACGAGGCATGGGAGGGGCTTCTTGGCTGCCCGGGGTAGTATATTCGCACTGATACCCCGTCAAATAGTTCGTCAGTCACCAAGAAGGTGAATTGTGTATAGCTTAGCAAGTCCTTATGATATACAATAAACTATACAGATGGTTAACTATACTCTTAAGCCTTGTTTACATGCACCCCTTTTACCCCCATGGGTATTTTGCCCCTGGGGGTAAATTTACCCACAGGGGCAAAGAGCAAAATTGTGCCTGCGTTTACATGGTGGGGGGTATTGATATTTCTTGTCACTCTATAACCATGGATAAATATAGACGTTTGTCCAAATCTAGAAAACGGAAGAGATTCGTCCAAACTTTGTGCGTGGGTTCATCACTAGAGAAAAGGAAAGGAGTAGATATTGGTGGGAAGTAACTGTACCACGTTTTGATGAAACTCAGTGTAAGGAATACTTTAGAATGCCAAGGGACATGTTCCAGCGCCTCTGTGAAAAGCTCCATCTTCACATTCCAAAAGTAGCAGTGGTATTCGAGTTGCAGTGGCACTATACTACTTGGCCACAACAGTAGAAAATCGCATTGTTGGTAATCTGTAGTTTCCTATAGGCGAAGAGCTAAGGGGATATCAGGGTTTCAGGAAAATGGAAATTTCCTAACTGTGCTGGCGCCAGATGCAACACGTAGCCCGATCATTGCTCCGCAACAGTTTCACGCCGATTACGTGAACACAAAAGGATGGTACTAAGTAATCCTGCTCTCTGTATGTGATGGCAAATACTAGTTTACAACTGTGTGCATCAGGTGGCCAGGTAGAGTTCATGATTCCATTCTCTAATTCAGGATTCAAAGCTTCAGCAGATGGTGTCCCATCTTACCACAATCCCCTGAGTGGAAGAAAAAAGCGGGTACTGCTAACAATGATGGTGACATGACTGTCGTCATTACTGCAGATCCGGCCTATCTTATGTCTCACTAGCTCTTAACACCTTACCGCAACAGAGGAACCCAATCAGATGAGAAGTCATACTTCAACTTCCGCTTCAGCAGTGCCCAGATGGTCACTGAAAATACATTTGGATGCTTCAAAGGAAGATGTAGGCGCATAACATGTGTGAATCAGACCACATGTTCAACCCTGACTGGCTGGATGAGGTTGAGGTACATGATGGCGACCAAGGACCACAAGGTCAAGTTGATACCACTGGACAAGAATGTTGGACATTGGATGGATGATGGATTGGCATATGGTTGAGGAATGTTCATGATGAACTATAGCATACGCAACTGGTGTTACCTGTCAGAAGCTTTCTGTCTTTCTCCTTTATCCAGTTTCCTAAGTGCAAACTCTTTATTTTCCTTCTCTTGTCATTTTTTCTCATTTCCAGCTCAATTGTTTCTTTTTCAACTCAATCTGCCTTGCTTCAATATCTTCATTAGGTTTAGCAAACTAATCCATGACAGTTTTCAAAGTTGTTTGCAGTTTGGGTTTTCTTTGTTTTCCTTTTTGTTTCTTCTGAGTTTCATCTTTACTTTCCATCTGTTTTCATCTGAGCATTTTGTCGGCCATTTTGAACATATTGATAATCTCCTGTCTCAGCAAGTTCGACATCAGTAGCATGGTCATCAGTAACTTCAAGATCAGATATGTCTGTATCTGATGCAACTGACTGCTGGAGACGTTGAATGACCTTTCCAGGTGATGTCGCAGGTCTTGTATCCAAAATTTCATTTAGCTGTTCATAAAATGTGCAGTTTTCGGGCCTGTCCACTCCTCTTAAGTGAACCCCTACTCTGTCTATATGATTGTTAACTGTTTTCGTTCGTTCTGTGCATTGTATGGCCGTTTTCTCAAAGCCCAATTCATGCATTACTTTGTTCACCTTTGCATAAACAGCTGTATCAGCTTTTGAGGGGCTGTTCAGAAGGGATTGGATGACAGGGTGGGTAGTGCATACCAACAACATACATACTGACAAAATGCATGTTTCTATTTCGTGGAAAACCATTCCATTATAAGAAAGGGTGGAAGGGTCTACAAATGTACCCCTGGTTGGATTTAGCTTGATTGACCGTGTACATGACCCTTTTACCCCAGGGGGTAGAATACCCCTAGGGGTAACTGAATTTACTCCACCTTTTGACCAGGGGCAGAATACTTTGGGCAAAGGGGTGTGTGCAAACAAGGCTTTAGAAGAAGATGGGGAGTTCATCTTTTCATCTTTATCTTTGATTGACAAAGGGAGATATATCGGAGTCAGTCAATGTTGATATAATAATAATGAATGTTTTGTGAGTGCATCACCACTTGCACTTCCTTATGACC